CCCGTACAGGGTGGTTGTAATGGTCAGAGCACTAGTAAGCTCAGGTGTATTTCTCATTATTCTAGCACATGTTGACTTCCATGTCCTTTGAGACATTTTCCTGGAAATTTATAGATTAAGTAATTTTGGATTATATTCTGGACATCTTGTGTATTGGGAGACGGAGTCCTACTAGAACCTAGAAAATGTCGACTTTTTAAAGCAGGTGAATAGTCTGGCTGGGATCCACTGCAGGGCGGTGGCCCTCTTCCCCAGCCTGTGCACTGCCTCGTGCCCACGCGGGTGCCCTCTGCCAGTGGCTGTCCCAGTGAGGCCCCAGGCTGGTGTGTCCAGCCCTAGGGGAGCGTCCTCTGACTATGCATCTGCTGTGACCTGCCCCACATTTCCCGTCTCTCAGGGTCCCCTCTTCCTGGCCCTGTGACCAAGTCTAGCGTGGGGCCATGGTGGTGTGAGGAAGGACCCTCTGTGCACCTCGGGGACAGCTGCCCCTCTCCGATTCCTCCTCTCAGGGCGGGCCACTCTCCGAGGCCCGGGCCCCGGCTCCACACAGCTGTGTGACCCCAGGGTCTGCCACGGGGCCACTCCCAGAACTCTGGCCAGAATCGGGGGGCACTTTCTCGGGCCCATTCCTGATGTGCAGTTCTGACACGTGGGCTGTCCCGGAGCTTCTGCCCTGTCACACAGCAGGAAACCAAACCCAGGGGCAGTCACCGTGTTGCTGCTGCTTCCACTTCTTAAGAAATCCTCACCAGAAGACGTGCTTATGTTAGGGCTGGAATTAGATAAAAGTAGCCAAAAGGAACCTGAGGCAGGCTCCAGACTGTCTCAGCAAGGAAGATAGAAAGTACAGAAAGTACAAAGAGTGCTGAACAAGATAAACCGCCTTGTGCATGACCTTGTCTTTGCAGAAAAGTATCCATTGTTGCAAGCAGAGAACATAGCCATGTGTGTCCTCTCGAGATAGCCAGTTGCTAACAGCTACGTCTGCTTCTGTGTTTACTTGCTTGCTCACCCCAATAAAAACCCCAGGCTGTAAGCACCAGGCGCGACTCTCATCTGCAGCCATTTTGGCACTGTGTCTCCGGACACCCTGAGAGTTCGCCCCTGCACAGGTAAAACTTTGAAACTTTGGCCAATAAAGTTCCGTCATAAACTCCTGAAGGCTTCCGACATTTGTTGCTCGCATTGGGGTATGTTATACTTATTGATATTAGAGACGGTGAGGGGCGGGGAGATGGAAATACCAATCGGTTGCCCCCCCCATACGCCCTGAGGACGAACCCGCAACCAACCATCTGGGTGCGGTGCAAGGCGACACCCAACCAAGCAAGTCACGTGGACCAGGGCTGGCTGCTCACTTCTAATCCCTCTGCCCCGAGCTGTCTGCTGCTGTCGTTCTTGGGCACCGAGACAGGGGCTTTGTTTATCGGTACTGGTGGCAGTTGGCTGTGACCCCAGGGGGAGGCGCTTGTTGCACCACAGGAACCTGAGGACATTTCCGAAATCAGGACATTAGTACAGGGTCAGTCACCTCACCAGAGGCCACTGAGGCCCCTGTGAAAACCTGGTTCTCCTATTGCTGTGGACATGACCCCAGAGGGGCGCGGTGGCCGGCACATCCATCCAGCGTGCATTGAGGTCACTGCAGAGCCCAGGGGAAGTGCCGGACGGCAGCAGCAGTTCGAGCCCATGGGCCGGAGGGTCCTCTGCGCCTGCCCCAGGAGTGCAGAACGGACCACGTGGTCACTGCAGGGTGTCTGGTCGTGCCGACAGGGCGGCCTCCTGACGGACTCGCTGAACTGCCTGGTCTGCGGGAAGGCCTCCCCGCCACGCCCTCCGTGTGGGTGAAGGTGGGGACCCTGCGGGACAGGGCCATCTGTTTCTTCAACAAGGTGAACCTAATGAACCAAATGAAGTTACCAGACCAGCATCTCCGGAGAGAAGGGGAGGTTAAGATCATACTGCACTTTATTAAAAATTTTTTAATTTTAACTAATTTTAGAGAGGGGAAGGAGAAACATTGATCTGTTGTTCCATTTATTTATTAATTCATTGGCTGATTCTTTAAAAAAAGATTTTATTTTTTAGAGAGAGGGGAAGGGAGGGGGGGAGAGAGAGAGAAAACATCAGTGTGCGGTTGCCTTTCATGCGCCTCCCACCAGGGACCTGGCCCACAGCCCAGGCACGTGCCCTGACCGGGAACTGAACCAGCGACCCTCTGGTTCGCAGGCCAGGACTCAGTCCACTGAGCCACACCAGCCAGGGCAGTTGGTTGATTCTTCCTTTGTATGTGTCCTGAGTGCGGACTGAACCCACAACCTTGGCGCACCAGGACGACACTCTTATCCGACCGAGCCACCCAACCAGGGCAAGACCGTAATGCACCTTAAAGCACCGACTGACACAACACGATTAATTCCACATGGAGAACGCCTGGCAAACGCCATGGTGAATGCTTTCTTCGGGAGAAACAGCCTCTGGACATGACGAGCAATTGTTTCTGCTACCGAACTGTCTCTGAACTCTGTCCTTAGTCGCTCAACTTCAGCTTCCTTCACTCAGCGCCCCAAGAGGGACTTCACGCCACATTTTGCGGGACACCTTCCCGCTCACACCCTGGAAGTGGAGCTGGGTGGCGCTCTCGGGCCTCCCACGACAGACGCGGATGGCAGACGCCCTGTGGACTTTCTGTAGTGGCCAGCTGGCCAGCATCCAGGCTGGGCACCACGTGGCCACACGCCTCTCTAGGCTGACACCATTTCCGGGCGTTCACAGGGACCTTGACTCACGGCTATGACCTCAGCTGGACCCCTGCCTCCCTCCCGTGCAAACCCCGGCGCCGCCGCTCCGCACATATGCGGCGGGGCCTGCGCGAGCCGGGGGAGGAAGCGCCTGCGGAAGCTGCCAGACGGCAGACAACACGCGCTCCACTAAAAGCGGTGCACGCGTTTTACTGGACGTCAGGAAATCGGCACTTCTAGAATTTCGAACCTGCACGCGGATCACCACGACACTTCCTGGACTAACAGCGTCAGGACCCGAAGACTGTCCCTTACCTCCAGGGTCGCGCGGCAGGGAAATCCCGGGTCCTGATGTGGCCCCACCCGCGGCGCCTGCCCGCTCTGTCCTGGAGGACACTCAAGGGCGTGGCACTGGAGGCGCTCACGGTGCCCTGGGGCCTCAACCGCGCAGAGGGAGCTCAGTCCCAACTGCAGACACCTGGGAACGCTCTGCACTGCGCAGGTCACAGGTTTCCCTTTTGTGTTTTCGTTTGGTTCAAGGCAAAGCTGCAGAAATGAAGTTTCTAGTCCCTCAGAAACTTCCTAAAAGAAGATGTGCAGGATCTGCCTGTGCACAGGTGCCCCGTCACCCGGGGCCTCCAGCAGGGCAGCTGGGAAGCAGCTTGGTGGCTCCTGGTGTATTAAGGGCTCTTGGGAATTCAGAACTAAACTGAAAAAAAACTGGCTAGGGCCACTGGTGTGGCTCAGTTGGATTGAGTGCAGGCCTGCGAACCAAAGGGTCACAGGTTCGATTCCCAGTCAGGGCATTAAACCCATCTGGGTTGTGGGCCAGATCACCAGAAGGGGGCGTGCGAGAGGCACCCACATATTGATGTTTCCCTTGCTCTAAAAATAAAATATAAAAATCTTTAAAAAAAACCAAACTTGCTTGGAATATGATAGCTAATTCATGCGTCTTCTGGCTTTCCCCTTAATACCCCTAGTGCTACATGCTGATCAAGGAGCCACGCGAGGAAAGCGTGCTCTGGTCCCGGAAAGAGCCCACCCTCACCACCTGGCAGCAAACACTCCTCGCCCTGCAATCTGAGCACCACGCACTCACCTACCACCCAGCCCAAGCCCCTCCAGCCCCTGACGGTGTACGTTTTGGGCTAAAATGATCACGCAACGGGACAGGCTGACACAGGGAAAGGCTGCGAGTCTTCCCGGATAGCGGCCGGCACGCCGCTGTACCCACGTGTCCTTGCGCCCGGCCCTCAGAGCGGTGACCTCACCCACACGCACAGGGCACTGTCAGCAGAGCATCGCGTTGCAAATCACCAACGTCGGTGGATTTGCAAATGCAAGGCGCGCTCTGGTGCAGCGCCCGGGAGGCGGGGCTGCTGCCCGGGAGCCCCGCCCACACTTGCGTCTGTCACACACGCGGGCTCACGCACTTGGTGGTTCTGTTTTATTTTTTAAATGGCTGAGTTATAAATCCAGCTGCTGGGCAGTAACTTCATAATTTTCAACGCGCATCATCTGCAGTGACATTGCGACAGCTCCACACTTCGGATGGACACACAATACTTAGAACAGTCATCATATTTGGTCTTCAGGTAAATAATGTTTTAAAGTTGCCTAAATATACCATTCTGAGCCGTTTCATCCCACCAGGAAAATACAGGGTTCTTTCCTCTCTTTAAAAAAAATTAAATACCAAAATAACTACATTTAAATAAATAACGTTACGGTGATGACATTTAAAAATTCACAATAAGGCCAGAGCCCTCGTTCTATTTGCACGGCTGCGCAGCCCAGACCCGGGACCCTCCGGAAGGGCGAGTGGTTTTCTCCCGGAGGATCTGGGCCGTGGCCCTGGGGGCGCCCCCACCTCCCCCTTGTCCCCTTCCCTCTCGCTGTCACTGTCTGTGGGAGGGAAGTCGGTCTCAGCGGTGGGTTCAGCCCCGACAGGTTGAGGGGAATGTGCTGTTACAAATCGGGAAACCACCTGGACGTCCCCAGTGCACGACCCCAGGGCCTTCCCCGCCCGACCCCTGATGCACCCGCGGTTCCGCTCGGGGCCCCCGCAGCTGCTCCTGGGTGAGCGCAGCTGCCGGGCAGACAGCTGGGTGGACCAGGCCGAGTGGTGACGGCACCTAAAATAGCAAATGTGCCACTGAGGGGCCTGAGACACCTGTTTGGAAGGGTGTGTGATCACAGACCGAACTGGTTCCCCAGACGAAGCAGGAATAGTTCCGTCATTTTAAACACACAACACTCAGGAGACTCGCTTTACTGAGAGTGGAAAATGGACCAGGGACCAGGCCAACACACAGAACAAACAACAGAGCAAGAGACACAGTTAAGTGCAGCCCGCGAGTCCGCAGTCCGTCCGCGAGGCCCGCGGCGGCCCCGGCCCGCCCACGTGGAGCTGTCAATTCATCAGCAGCTGTCACCACGTGGCTCCTCCGGAACTTGAGCCAGACAAGCAGATCCTTGCACAGGCTGGAAGCAGCCAGAACTACGTGGCTTCTCTTCTCCCGTGAGATCTGCGCCACAGGCCAGTGATCCAAACCTCCCGAGGGGAGCTGGAGTGCTCCGAAATGTCGCAGACCCCGTCATTTCGTAAAGAAAGAAAGTACTCAAAATACTCTAATTCCACATGAACAACAAAATACTGTCTCGCCTGCCAGCCCCTCGGGTCCTCGGGTGGCGGGGCGGCCCCTGCACGTCCCCGAGTGGAGGGCCCGCCCCGGCCCCGCTCGCACCAGGCGCCCTCCTCACTCGGAAGGACGGAAAGTCTCTGCTCGGAGTTAAAAGATGCGCCGGGCGGGGCGCTGCCGGAACCAGGCCGCACGGTTTTCGAGTTCAGGGGTGACTTCCGTCTGCAGGAGTCGTAAGGCCACCTGGGTTTTGTTTGCAGCGCTGACGTCAGGTCCTGCGGTTGGCCCTCTGCCCCCCCAGCGGCAGGAGCAGTGTCTCCTTTTGGCACCAGAGTTGACGGGAGAGCAGGCGAGCCCTCCCGGCCGCTAGTTCTGGAGGCCCTTCTCCCTCACTGTTGCCGGGGGCGTGTCCACACTCAGGGCGATGACGATGCTCTCGCCGTCCTCGGTCTTGACCCGCTTCAGCTCCGGCTGCTCCGAGGGGTCGCCATTCTGGCGCTTTGTGGGCAGGGAGGCAGACGCGGAGGCGTGCGTTGCCAGCATGTGCAGAGGACTGGCCGCCGCTGCGGAGAGATGGTGAGTCAGACCCGGGAGACCCCCCACTGTGCCCAGAGGCCCAGCTTCTCCCTGCGGCCGCCCTGCTGCCCGGCGCATCCACGCTGCGGGTCAGCTCTACCCACAGCTGCCGTCTTTCTGTCACTTTGAAGAGGTGACTTCCATTAAGGAGGCACACCCCCGGGGCGGGGGAGGGCCCGGTGGGGCTCTCCCAGGAGAAAGACGAGCCTGCACAGGGCGACCACTGACAACCGCACCTCCAGGACCCTGCTCCACGACAGCCTCGGGCCAAGTCCCAGCAGGGTCCGACCGAGCCCTTCCAACCAGACCGCGCACGGCGGGGCCAGAGCAAGGCTGGGTTTTCTGGGCAGCGGGACACTCACTGCGACACAACTGTCACCCAACACCCCCACACACACGGAAACAGACACGAACGTCCCCAACCAAGTTTGGGCAGAGGACGCTGAACCTCACTCTAACGGCCCCTCACCACAGCAAGGGGGGGTGCGTCAGGAGCTCAGGGAACAAAGGGGAGGCCTCACGGTCATCTCAGCACAGGGCAGCGCTGATCACTCGGCCCCTTTCGAGATGAAACTTCGCAGCTGAGCAGGTGCAGGAAGGCAGCTCCTGGGCTCCCCGAAGCCCACGGGCAACACCCCACAGCCAGCACCAGCCTCGGCAGGGCAAGCCTGGGCCTCTTCCCGAGACCAAGGCGCTGGCCACTCCTGCTGCAGCCACACTGCATGTTCCCGCTGGCACAGGCCCGAACACCGCCTGGCAGACACTGCTCCCGGCTACGGACCAGTGCAGAGGCTGCTGGGCCTCAGATCCACACACGCGCCTGCTGCACGAGCCTGCTGGGCCACCAGGCAGCGGACAACCAGGAAGGAAACCAAGACAACAGTCCCGTCGATGGAAACGCCAGGCACCTGCGCCTCGCATCCCGGAGACAAACTCCCTCGGTCTGTCTGGTCTGCTCTACTTGTCTGCGTCCGGTCCAGGCGCTGGGGTGGCGCCGCCCACGCACACAGGGCCACCCCCTCCCATGCCAGGCCCCTCCGGGGACCCCACCACCGGAGCCCCAGGTATCTTCCTGGCCAAGGGACTCACAGAGAGCGGGAGCCCCCACTCTCCAGGTTTTCGCAAACACCCCTCTCGTCGGACAGCCCCTCCACAGGGACCCCAAGAGTCAACACCCACGAGCGCGTCCTGGGTGTCCTCAGACAAAACTCCTAACTGCCAGGACCAAAACCCTCAACCCGCCCCCAGAAGCAATGGGTGGTGGCCACCGCCCACTCACCGCCGCCGCCTTGGCTGTGAGCGGCAGGGACTGGCACTGCATGCGCCCCGTTCTGCGTGACCGTCTGGATCGGCAGCTGGTGCGGGCCCAGCGGCGTGTGCTGCGCGATGGTGACCGTCTGCACCGGGCCGCCCTGCGCCGCCTGGACGACCCGGCTCACGGCAGGGACAGGCTCCACTTTCACTGAAACGCAGAGGAAGAAGCTCAGGGGGCCCCACCGGCTCAGGGGGCCCCGCCTGGGCTGGCCAGCTGCCCCTGCCCACAGGGCGCCCCAGCAGGGAGGTGCTGGCTCACCTTTCACCTCCCGGTGATCACCGTTCTCCTGCGGCTCTGCCTTCGGGGGGGCCAGCACGGCAGCCTGCGCAACCACGGCCTGCCCGGCAACACTGGTGACGGTCATGGCCGGGATCTGGTGGACGACGTGCACTGTCTGCACCACGGGCGGCTGCGAGGCCGGGGCGGGCGCAGCAGCGGCAACTGTGTAGGTCACGGGCTTGATGGTCGGGGGCAGCTGCCGCTGCACGGCAATGAGCACGGGCTGACTGGACAGCGGGGAGCCTGCGGAGCAATGGGGCAGCAGTGAGGCCGCTGTCCCGGGTCCCTCCACACCTGACTGGCTCCCCCAGGCTGTCCCTGATGGCCGACAACACACAGAGTGGGGCACAAGCCAGGGTGGCCCGTCCCCTGGGCCCATCACAAGGACAGACACGCAGGGACTGAACGGGGCCGCTTGTTCACAGACCCCAACGCCAGCCACCTAAGGTCTGCACCGGTCACGTGTCTCCTAACAGCTCCCCCATCATCCCCTCTCTCGGGAAGGGACACAGACATGGGCGTGGTGGGGGGAAGCTGCCTGCTCGGCCTGGCGAGGCCCTGCTCCCGGGGCTCATGCCATCAGCTCCGGCAGGGCCAGGGGACTGGGACGTTCGGGACGGGGGTGGCTGAGGGCAGACCTCCCATATCCCCTGCTCTGCGGTTCGGGCCGCAGCATCAGGAGGCCGTGGAGGCAGGGGCTGGCCCAGGGCGGGCCCGGAACCCCACGCAGCCAGACGCCCGTCCCGCCGACCAGCGGGGAACCCGGGTGCCATCGGTTCGACACACTCCGCACTCTGTTCTTTAAACTTCCAAGACACACGTTTTTCACCTGCACTGGCTTTATAACGTTCACCAATCACTAAATAAATGTTTTTTGCTGCTAATCAATGTCCTATTTATTATTTCTTTGGGGGGAGATTATTTCAATTTTTTAAAAAGATTTTATTAACCTATGTTTAGAGAGAAGAAATGGGAAGAAGGAGAGAGAAACATCGATGTGTGGCTGCCTCTCATGCGCCCCCCACTGGGGACCTGGCCCACAACCCAGGCCTGTGCCCCGCCTGGGAACTGAGCAGGAGACTCCAATGCAGAGGCCGGCGCTCAATCCACTGAGCCACACCAGCGGGGGCCCTTTTCATACGACTTTCACACGATGACGCAACTAAGAAGCAGGTTAATTCGAAATTGTCTCAGGTACCCATACAGCGTCACACACCGGAACTCGGGTTCTTTTTAAACCACCGTGCTGTTAGTTTCTCGGAGCTGGGAGAACCACACTCTGCCCCTGGGCACCACGCGTGAGGTACGAGGCACAGAGCAACCGAAGCCCCTCCCACCCACCCCCCCCACCCCCCGGGCCTGCCCGCGACGCCTCACCTGGTGCACTCTGGGCCGACCGCGCCTCCTGGATGACAGCCAGCTTGGGCTGCACGGTGCCGGGCTCCGGCTCCAGGGGGGCCGGCGAGCCTTCCCGGGACAGGCTCTCGGGGGTCTGGGCGCCACTGGAGTGAGCGGACAGCACTCCGGCGTGGTTCGGAGAGGCCGGCGCACTTCTGTGTGGCCAAAAACAAGACGGGGTTGTAGAGGAGGAGCTCCTGCGGCCACCTCTTCTCGACTTAACAAGTGCACTTTGTCCGCTGCCCACCAACAGCGCCCCCACGGCCCCACTCTCCCCGTGACACCGTGAGGGAGGTGGACACCCAGCCACAAGCACGGCTGTGTCAGTGCCCCGCACCCAGCAGTGAGGTGGCGGGAGCGGGCAATGTGCGTGCCGGTGGTTCACACTTACACGGACTTTGCTTTAAGAAAACCATGTGTTTATGTTTAGAGAGAGAAGGGAGGGCAGGGAGACAATCAGTGATTGGCTGCCTCTCTCGCCCCCACTGGGGGTGGGCCCTGTAACCCAGGCCTGTGCCCGGACTGGGAATCGAACCAGCGCCCTTTTGGTTTGCAGGCCAGAGCTCAACCCACTGAACCACACCAGCCAGGGTTATTTTTTAATTTAAAAACAGTATCCATTAATGAAGCTAAAAACATGATTTTGAAATCAGGCCATTAACCTTGTACAGACGGATCCAAGTTTAAGCAGCGGTGAGGCTGCACTGGGGAGGGTGCGGGGCAGAGGGAAGGGAGGACACAGCTCCGCGGGCCGGCAAGGCCGTGAGCCCGGCGAGGCCACCGCTGCAGGTGGAGACATCTGACCGACGCCGCACACCGCCCGGCCTGTCCCGACGCCAGCGCAGCAGCAGCGCGGACACTGCCTGTCTGCCCACCTCCCGCCTCCACAGTCGCTCTCAGTGCGTCTGCCAAGGCCCCGCCTCCCGAAGAAAGTGGACCGACGCACGGGGGGGTGGACGCGCTGACCGCTCCTCGAGGCCTCCCTCCCTTACCTGGACGACAGCGGCCCCAGGGGGGTGCGGAAGCAGGGCACGCCGCGTGGCCGCCGCTTCCTGAAGGCCTGCTCCACCAGCTTGCTCTCCGACGCCGGGTCCACCCTCCAGAAGGAGCCCTTGCCCGGCTCCTCCTGGGAGCGCGGCACTTTGATGAAGTAGCGGTTCAGAGAGAGGTTGTGGCGGATTGAATTCTAGGAAACAGACGCACACGGGACGTTTGTCGACTTCTTTGCTGAGGAGTCAAGATGTGCTTCCTCTGGGTCCCTTGCAGGGGCGCCCCCAGCAGGAGGGGCAGAGGCAGCGCCGCAGGAAAGAAGCTACTTCCAGGGGGACTATGTCAGTTTCCACCATTTGTCCAGGCAGGAAGCGAAACGTCGCTACAGTTACCTGGCCTTTCGAGCTGTCCCCCCTGTTTAGGGGCACAGCCAACCCTTTGAAATACTTTTTGGAGCAGAGAACTCTAACTACTTAAAACAAACTAGTCCAGGACCGAGTTTCCGGCAAAGCAGCAGAGGAGACAACAGGCCCAAGGCCGAGCCGTGCTCAGCACGCCGTCGGGGGCGCATTTCTCCTGAGGGCGCGTGGTGGCTGTCCCCCTCCACTCCTGCCCCCTCTCTATGACGAGCTGGGGCAGGTCCCCATGGCCCCCGAGGCTGCAGCCAGCCTGACCCAGCGCCCCAACAGGACGGGAAAAGCTGGCTGAGAGCATTCGCATTAATGTTTACATTTGAAATTAATAAAGTCAAAGAGAGACCGGACTACCCAATCATTTCTAAACTCCCCAATTAACCTTCCGCTAGAAATGCCAGCCGGGGCCTGACCTGCGAACGGCCGGGGCCGTGGTGCAGCCTGGAGGCCCCGAAGGCCTCTCACCAGGCGCTTCCCTGGGGACACGTGGGGGGCCGTGCGTGGTGCGGTCCGGGATCTCCGCACACCCACACACGCTGTGAGCACTGCGGTGTCTCAGCAGCCTCGGGGACCGCTGGGTCACGTCAGCACAGGGTATGGCTGAGGTACAGCTAGCGCCTCTTGATCAGCTGCTCCAGAAAACCAAGACCAAGTCTGCCGCCGTCAGAGGCGGGGACCCCCCGCCTGCCCTGCTGCCTTCAGCCCTCTTCCGGTTTGGAGGAAAAGGCAGGTCCCCTTTTCCTCCAAAAAAGACTGTGGGCTGAGGAGAGCAAAGCCAGGTGGGGACAGGCCACCGGCTTCTCTCTGAGAACAAGACCGTTCTTCCGCCTGTCGGGGGCAGGGTAGGGGTCCCACTTTCCTCGGACTGTTCTGTGGGAACCTGACCACCCGGGTGGGACCACGGGAGTGACCACCAAGCCCCAGTGCAGAGCACCACGTGCCCGTCACTGACTGTACAGACCGGCTGGGGCAGGTGCTGTCACGCTGCTCCGTCACCCTCACCTCGACCACTGCAAAGGACGTCCGCTGGCCAGGGAGCAGCCGTGTGGTCAGGGTGTGCGAGGAGAGCGGCCCCCACACCTGCGCCTGCCCCGCCGTGGCCCGGTGAGCAGGCAGAGCTGCTCTCCCGCCGCCGCAGCGCCTTCCGCCGGCACCAGGGGTCAGAAGCAGCAGCAGCCCGGGGCCACAGCCACGGCGTCCCCTCTCCGCAGACAGCACCCTCACTAGCCTCACTCTGCCACCGCAGCCCGACCCTCCTCTCCGCTGCCCACCAGCACCTGCGGGCACGCGCTCACCTGCCAGCCCTTGTCGGCGGTCCGGTAGTAGGGGTAGTTTTTAGTGATGTGCGTGTAGATCCCGTTCAGCGTGAGCTGCTTGTCGGGAGCCATGGTGATGGCCTGCACGATGAGCTGCGCGTAGGAGAAGGGCGGCTTCGAGTCGTCCTGCACGCGAGGGGCGGGGAAAACGTCACCCGAGTCACGAAAACTCCCACTGAATGCATTGAAATTCAGGATTCTGGCGTTTTTAGGCACCTGTGTGTGTGTTCAGATGTGTGCACGTGTGCCACCGTCAGCCATTTTTGACAGTGCCTGTGACCCCATAAGGAACAAGGGACACCCTGTCCCCCTGGTCTGTGAGGTGCTGCGTGGCACTGGCCCCGTGCCCACTGGGACCCCCTCGCACCCACGGCCCTGCTGGGAGTCACTGGACGCACGGGCTGCAGGACATTACCTTTGGGCTGTCTCCACCCGAAGCTTCCTTTTCATTCTCTGGCTGCGAGTTGTCAGCCATTAAACTGAGGTCAGATGGCATCACACGGCCCATTTTGTACCCTGAAGACCCTGCTCCCCGGGGGCTGGATGGGCAGGAGTTTGCGGCGCTGGGAACGAGAAGAGACCACCCCGTCAGTCCGCCATGGAGGCCACGGGCTCTGACTGCGGGGACGAGACCGACTGTGAACGGGAGGATCGAGGGCCGTCCTCGCCCCCAAGATGCGCAGGGCCAGGACTCTGCTCCCACGGGAGTCTCCCGTGGTCGTGACACAGACTCCAGGGGAGGCAGGGGTCCCCGCTGCACCAGTGAGGAAACTGAGGTGCAGTCCAACCGAAACGTCCAACGGTGCCGGGCCGGGCCGAGGACAGAGCCCCTGGGGAGCGGAGGACACGCTGTGAGGGACGCACCCGCAGCCACCCGGGCCAGGTCCCAACAGCCCGCCGCAGGCTGTGGTGAGGGCGGCTCCGCGGGCCGCAGGAGCGGGGACCCGGCGTCACATGCACTTTCTTTCACAAGGTCGGGTGGGGGCACCAGGAACGCTGCCTCCTAACCTCCATGTGGACTCAAGGCCAAGTTCATTTGTGACAACTTGCTTTTCCGAAGAGAATCAAACTGTACAGAGAAGGGGCGATGGAAATGGAAGGACGCCAAGAAAAACTGTTTCAAAAAGTTTTGCAACCCAGTAAGTTACAGAAAAGAACACACGGTGAGATCTCGTCTGTGTTTTGGGGGAAAAGACAAGTATTGCGAGTGTACAGGAAACGTCTGAGAAAAATACCTAAGAAACCTTGGCTACCTCCAAAAAATGGAACCAGAGCGGAGTGAACGGGGGGAGAGGGCAGGAGCGCCCGGCGCGGCCCGTCCCTGCAGCCCCCAGACTCCAGGCCACAAGTGTGCACGCCCAGGTGCCGGCCCCCCAGGACACACACGTGTGGGGTGGACGAGTGGCCCGATGGCCGGCTGACGATGGGTCTGGGAAAAGCAGGGGCCCCCGCAGCTGCCCGCCTGTTCCACCTGCACCCCCAGCTCGGGCACGGGCTGGCCAACGCCGGCAGCGGTGCAACGACCAGGCAGAGGAAGGGAAGAGCAAGGAGAACAGGCTGGAGACGGGCGGAGGGCGAGAGGCCGGCTCAGGGGCCGACTCCACCCTAAGGCTGCCAAGAGCCTCTCTCCCGAGAGATGCAACCTGCAAGGCCCCACCTGCCTGAGCCCCGAGGGCACAGCTGCCCCGCTTCAGCCACAAGCGGCCGACTGATGGCTCCAGAACACTCGCCCTCGGGGGCGGGTGGTGGCTCTGACCGGAGCCTCACTGTCCTGTGAGCTCAGCGGGACCCAAGCAGGACAGCATGCCCGACGCTGCCGTCCTCCATCTCCCAAGGGGGGCCCGTTCGTTCTGAGCTTTGTCACTTCACTGGGACCCACGGGATGCAGCTCACGAGTCCAAAAACACGTCATCAGAACCAACACAAAGTCACAGCAAACAACACCCCAGACTTCAGACAGACAGACAGACAGACAGACAGACTGTGTGCCCCTGTAATTCACACGTAAGCAACAACAGCCCTCAAGAGGGACAGGGACCCCCGGGAACCTTGGTCACAGCACGGGGACCGAGAGCCAGGGGTGTTCAGGAAGGAAGCAGCATCCCGCCCACCCCAGGCCTCCCCCTCCCCTCACCTGCCAGCCCGGGGGGGGGGGGCGTTCAGTGACCCGGAGCCCATACCTGATGGTCCCCGTGGGGGAAGGCAGGGGGCTGAGGAGGTGGGCCATGGAGTCTGGAATGCTGATGGTCAGGGGCGAGACGTGGGCCTGTGCGGGCTTCCCCGGGGACGCGGGTGCCTCCGGTGGCTCCCTCTTCTCGCTGGAGCTGGACAGCGCCGTGAACGTGATCTTGATGTTGGTGCTCGGGAATCGGAAGGTGCACCTAGAATGGAGCAGCCACTGTCAGTGCCTGTCTGAGCTCTGGAGGGCGGGAGCCCTGCCCCCAGACACGGAGCCACACAGGAGCCTCATGTGCTGTGGGGCGGCACCCAGAGGCCCCTCCAGATGCCCTCCCATGTGAGGGGGGGGCCCAACGAATGGGGCCACAGCCCAGGCCGCACTTCAGGGCTGCACAGCCCTGGCCTGCAGAAGTGCTGCCCAGACTGGCCGGGCAGGGAGAAGGGCAGGAGGCCCAGAGAGGCTCCCATGCCACTGCCCTCCCCAAACAATATGTGACTCTGTCCCGGGGCTCCCAGCAGACTCAGGACAGATCCGAACAGGCTGACGGCCCACTACCCCCTCAGAGTAAACACGTGTGTCACCAGGTCATCAAGCAGAAACAGAGTACTGCAGCTGTGTCTTATTTCAGAAGGAAAAGTCTTTCCTATTCCTTTAAGAAAATACCAGCTTTTTCACTGTGCAAACAAGAACCAGTCTCATTAAATTGTAGAGGACAAGGTTTACCATTTAACATTCTGGCTCACCTTCAGTACAGCTGCCTTGCTGTGACTCAAATAAAAAATTAAGAAAAGAAGGAAACGTAAGCCAAACGCCTTCAAAGAATAAAGGTTAAAAATAGCTCCACAGACTCCTGGTCTCGGAGTCTGGGCGTTGTACCAGCTACAAGCGCCTGATTCGGGGACTATTTATAGACAGCAGAACGACCAGGACCAGCCGATGGCACTCGGCCAGCCCTGCTCACCACCCTGGCCTACTTGGGCACTCACCAAGGGAGGGTACCTCCCACGTCCCTGCCACCGTCAAGGTGACACTCGCCCACGTTCCAGGACGCCCCTCGTAGCACTTGGGCACTGGCTGCTGCCCTCCCTGGAAGTCCCTGCCTCAGGTCCCTTGAGGTCAGTCCTCTGTAGCAGGGTCCCCAGCCTCCGGGCCCGGGAGGAACCGAGCCACGCAGCAGGAGGGGAGCTGGAATCACCCTAAAACCACTGCCCCGCCAGCCTGTGGAAAAGCTGTCTTCTGCAAACCCCGTCTTTGGTGCCACAAAGGTTGGGGACCGATGCTCTGGAGCCTCGAAGGCCAGAGCAGGACTGAGAAGCCGCCGGACCTACCTCTCCAGCTCTTACCTGGGGCTCCTCCGCACACCTGTGCCGGAGCCCGGCCTCTCCCCCAACGCCCAGTGCCCCCCGGACAGACTCCAGCCCCCCCATTTCCCACACACTGGACCCCATGTCCCACAGCCCCTGCCCTGTGCCACCCGCCGTGCTCACACCAGCTCCTCTCCGGCACCCCCTTTGAGAGTGTGACCGTCTTCCCTCCACAAACCAGGGACCTGGGTCCAGGAACATTCCGAGTTGGTGCTGGGGTTTCCGGCCACAGGAGTGATCAGCAGCTTCCCAAGGGCAGCCCAGTGCCCCCCCCCCCCCCCCCCCCCGCTCTTCTCGGGCTTGGGTGAAAACTGTGTTTGTGTCCCCTGCCCCTGCTTGCTGCCCCGAAACCCCTTGAGCACGGGGGCCTTGTCCGCGCCAGACCAGGCTGGGGGTGGCGGCGGCGGCACTGGCATTGCTGCGCTCCCTGGGACGCTCTGTGCTCCCAGCGCTTCTGCTGGACCTTTGTCACACAGGACCTACGCTGGACTGAGGAAGACCCCACCGGCAAGGTGTGTTAGTCACCCCTCAGGCCTCTCCCCCAAGGTCACATCCCGCCACACCCACGGCTCCAGTGCCCTTGGGCTGCCTCGCTAACCAAGCAGACATGAGCCCTGAGCACACAGCAGGTGCCCCATAGGGAGGACTGCTCCTTCGTCCCACCTCTGTGAGGTGGGACGGTCACACGCCACCAAGGCAGGCTCTCTGAGAGACACACAGCTGCCCAGACTGAACTAAAAGCCCCCGTGCCCACCGGCCGCACCCAGGCCCCTCCCTTCTCCCACTAACGCAGCAGGAGCCTCCAACGCTGTTGACCGCACTCCCGAGTGCACAGTCACAGAGCCCATGGGGAACAGCACGCCGTCCAGAAACGGCAAGCAAGGGACAGGATTGGGTACAGGCACAACGCTGCCATCTCTAGAAGGACAGGTTCGGACGCACCTCTTCAAATGCAGGAACACACACAGCGCCCTGCAGACAGCCCCAGGGGTCCTCCCAAAGCCCACAGGAGCAGCTCGCCGGCACATGGGAAGATGCTCCACGCCACGAGTCCACCGAAATGCAGCCCAAGACCACGCAAGACACCACCCACGTCTGGGGCGCAGCTGGCGCACAAAGGCAGACAGACCACGTGGGACAGAGTGCCATGCACCTTGCTCGCTCGCTCGCTAGCTCTGCAGGCCGGAGGGTGCCAGGGTGGCGCCAGGGGAGCGAGCCTGTCGCCCCAACCTGGGCATCTGGCCATGCGCCCTCACGCTCACTGGTGCTCGCAGGTGCCTGGGTCACCTGAGTCCTGAGTCCTGCCTGGAAAATGCCGGGTGTGCAGCTCCCAGAGAGCGGGCCTGGCAGTGGGGGCGCATCTGCACAGAACACTCCTCAGCGAGGAACACAGCCCGACGCGCGCCTTCCCCTCCCCTCGCGGACCAGCTCGAGGTCTTCCCGGGGTGTACACCCACTCTGCAGACTGACGTACACAAGAAAACCTCGCTTTGCTTTTGTTTTGCCTATAAGCCCACGGGAAATAGCGCCTAGGATCGCGGGGACTTGTGCAGTCTCATCGAGATGTCACGTGTGAGTTTCAGGTGCACACGTAACGCCCCGACGCACGCACGCACGCACGCAGAGCAGAGCAGCCCCGCCGCGGGCTCGAACGCCAGCTTTCTGCACTGCTCATCCTCACGGCGCTCGTGTGCGGGGAGAACATCCAAGGCCGACCGACACTCTGAGCAACGTCCGAACCCGCCGGTGCTGATGGGAGTGGCCGTGCCATGACCAGACCCGCAGAACTTGGCTCGTCTTGTAACTGAGGTCCCTGCCCTTTGACCACATCCCCTCCCCGCCCAGGGCTGTGCTGTCTTTAAAAAGCCTCACCACCGATGTGTCTGTCAATTTTAGAGACACACACACACACACACACACACACACGCGCGCGCATCGACGTGGGAGAGAAATTTTGATTGCCTACCTCCCCTACACGTCCCAAACTGGGATCAAACCCACAACCTAGGTACGTGCCCTGACCAGAAATTGAACTCGCCACCTTTTGGTTCATGGGAGGAGGCCCAACCCAGCGGGCCATGCAGCCAGGCCAGGGCCGCGCTCTTCAAACCGTGAGCGTGAGTGAGGCTGCCAGTTCCGCAGCGGTGAGAGCAATCGCGGCGCTGAGTTTCCCGTTGAAAGGCGCATTGTCACCTACGTCTGACGTTGGGAACGGCTCTCCATCCCCACGGTTCTCGATGAAAACAGTCACTTCCACGTCGTGGGCGAGAAAACAAAAGCGTAGTCCAGGGAGAGGGTGGGGCCTCTGGGACGGCGGCGCTGCGAGGGGGAGGGGGAGTGCCAGGGAAGCTGCCAGACAGCCCTCCTTCCGCAGACAGGGCCAGTGCGCACAAGAAAAGACTCCCCCACGTCCTTATTTGTGCGGAACACAGGTCAGAATCCGCAGGAGAGGGTGCCTGCCAGTGCCCGCACGCCGAGACCCAGGGCTGGGGCTGTAAGAGGCACAGGAGGGGTGGGGGCCCAGCCGCAGGAGCAGGTGTGGCCATGTCCCCAGAGTGATGGCACAGGCCCGCCTCACCAGACACCCCGGGAGCACTGTCCGTCCCAACAGCCCCAGATAAAACCGCCCGCAGCCCATGGACGGCGGAACATCGGTTCTGCACACTCACACTGCTGACCACGGGAGACCTGGAGGACAGCAACAGAACGAGGGCTCCACACCCAAGTACGAAAATGCTGGCTGACCCCCAAACACGCAGTCAGTGAAGACCACCACCACCCCTGAAATCCCTCTGTGGGTTCCATGTAAGAGGGGAACCCCAACAAACCAGAACTATCTTCCTGAGGGCGGGCCCTTTGTGGTTCAGGCTTCCCCTAGGAGCTGAGTGTTCCAGGAGCCCAGCCGCATCGCTGTGCCGGCTGGTGGTGTTGTGAGAGGCTGCGTTCCGTTTCAGTGAATTTTTTGTTTTGAAGACTCAGAGCATTTGCCCATTTCCTGACGGGTGATTTACGAGCACGCCTGCCCACACCATGTTGAGTGTTCAGCAGTGTTCGGCCAAAAACGGCATGACACCCATGCCTCACCCTCCTAGTCACCCAATCTCGCCCCAAATGGCTTTTTGTTTCCCCAGATGATAAAAGTCCACAAAGGGAAACATTTTGTTAATGGGGAAGAGATGAAACAAAAATGGCGGAAGCACTAAAAATCCACCAAAATCAACGAGTTCAAAAACTGTCTTGAGCAGTGGAGAAAAATTTCTCGATAGGTGTGTTTGCATCAGATGGACAATACTTTGGTGCTGAAGTTTGAGTGACGGTGACTGAAGTTTAAATGTGCAAGTACTGATTGTTGCATCATATAGCAAGTTCAAAGCAAGCGAAGCCATTGGCGGCCTGGGACTCGGGCCAGTGCTTCTGCAGCTATGAGACTGCTGATGTACAAGGTACCCTGAGCAGGGACAGACCACCGCCGTGGGTTCTCCTAAAGCTTTAAATTCGTATCTTGGTGCTTTTCTGTGTGTAGACAATAATAAAAACAGAAAGAAAAGCAACTGTGAAGAATAATAAGACTGGAGACCAACTGACAAAATGACCCCAGAAGTCCAGGTGGGAAACTGCTGAGCCGGGAGCGATGGGGGCGGGGAGGATAGGCCGGGAGCGTTCGGAGGGTCCGGGCAGGTCAGCCACTGAGCCCGAGGTGGCACAGCCCTGCCCCCGGGGGGAGGACAGCAGGCTGTGCACCGCCATGTGACTGGCCTTCAGGGGGCCTGTGTGACCCCAACAGTCTGCAGCCGCTTGCCCACAATTTCCGAAAAGCACACAGCTCCAAAAACCCTGA